TCTCTCTCTCTCTCTCTCTCTCTCGTTCACTCTCTCACGACAATGGTCGTGCTCATCACACCCCCGCTGCCATCTCGCCCCATTCAGGTCTTGCCTCGATAAATTGACATGTCACACTAAGAACTTGTGCCTGATGAATACGGGATTAGAAAGCAAAGAAGAGTCAGTCTTGGTTCACATATATATCTCGAACAATGCGGTGCGATGGCTAGACTGATGACGTCCGTCTAAGGGTTGCAACTCACCAACTGCGGCAGCCTACAGGAAACGCGCGCAGCAAGCAGGCCCGAGGATATCGAATGTCGTGCAAGCACAAACGAACCCCATGAGCCCTTAAGTTTTTTTCCTAGGATTTTGGTCGATGTTGGAATCCCAATGCTCGCGTGTTTCGCTTCATTTCGCTTCATACAGTAGACCCTTTCCAAACAGATCTGCACCCCTTGATTCGTTCCGCGAAGTACGCGGGAGCCAGAGTCCAAACCTCCCGCGGGTAAAATTTAAGAACCAGATCTGCCCATCCAAGTACGGTAGCAACGATTTTGTCGCCAGGTTCGCACGCCGGGAAGACCTCAACCAATGACACGATGTTGCGCCGCCCCCTCCCCCCTCTCCCCCCCCGCATCCACAAAACAGCAGTCGCCCCCTTCAACCCAGCTCTCTTGTTCTCTGTACTACGTCCACCTCCCTCTCGTTCTCACACGCACAGCCCAAACATCCACAAAACACCAGTCGCACCCTATTGACCCAATTTAGGGTCGAGCTCTCTCGTTCTCTGCACTACCACCCCCCCAGGTTGGTCTGTCCCTGTCTGGGTTTCCTCACAACGGCGTTACCGTCTTCGGCGGCCTTACCCCGATACCCGTCATTCTGTCGGAGGCTGTGCTGGCCCTGAGACCTTCCTTCGTGTGGTTGGGCGCCGGACACCCCTTGCTTAAGCTGGGCGTGAGCACGGAAGACTTGGTGAAGAAGCTCGGCGCCACCGTTGCTGACATTTCTGTCCCGAGGGACGGACCAGGGGCTGCTGAAGATGAAGGCGCCTACGACTGACGATAGCGGTGACTGCCCACGAGCGGTTGTGTTGGGTTTTCGGAGCGATCGAGGCTACCTTAGGGGTTGCCCTTTTGGTACTATGATATTACCAGCGGACAGCGAGTTCACATTTTTACGAAGTACGTTGGATTTCACCGATCCATATCGATGGGGAAAGCTGGTCGGAAGAGCGTGGTGTCGGTTCTTACATCTACGTAGACGTACATTTCTCCGAGGTTTCGTAACATTCACTTATGGATTTTTTGCCTACGGATCACGATGAGCCCATTGATACCGACGGCAACCCTTTATCACCATAAACTACACACGACACGCGTGGTTGGCCACCCTTTTCGCAGTGTCGTAGAGTGTTGAGGCCCTTAGTGCGGCAGCTTCGTACAAGCTGCAGTAAGTGCCGTTTGCTTTTTTACCTTCCAAAAAATTTCCACAATACAGAGAGGATCATTTTTCAATTTTCAAGCCAGCGGAAACCCACAGGCGAAAGGGAGTATTCAACGCCAAGCTTCATCATTCGAAGACCATGATTCACACTGTTTCGGGCAAGACTGTTGAAATCCGCAAGGTCTAGGTGTTTGTCCAGCCCATACTTACAGGTAACCACGGATGAGTATTTCGCCCCCTGCGGTATCGCGTTGTTCAGCCAGGCTTGGCGCGTTGCAAAAGGTGGTAACAGTATGTAACGCCACCTTTGCTCACCAACATCCTACCCCGTGGCTGCCGATGGTGTACTGTAGAGATGTAGAAGCCACCTCTGTTTACAACAACCGTGACATTGTCCACATCAAATACGTGCAGGCTGCGTGCGAACGATGCCGACAAAAGGTGTTCTCGGCAACCTAATAGGTGATGGCTGAACAACCTCGTTCTTGCATTCGTTGTCAACAATAGCGCACTCACCCCACAAACTACCGCGGAAGACACGACACCACACCAAGCCATGATCCACCATCCATCACCCGGCACGGGTATCTACAGCCAAACAAAAAAATAACACTTCCGGAACAGCAGTCGGGCACATGATAGTCGTGCTCCCCTTCTTGCCCCACCGCCCACACACGAAGCAACCCCGGCATTGACACGACACACAGCAGTTGAGGAGGGCAGGCAACAGACAGCGGAAAGCGGATTGGGTAGGTGTGAACTCAATCGCCTCGGCTCGTCCGTCGACGACTCCAATCGCTTCCTACACAACAGAAAGGCAGCCCCGTTAAGGCACCACGTACCGCTACTCTTATCTTCTAGGCGGATTAGGGCCTTCTCCGGAGCCCCTTCCGTCCGTCTTGTCTCGCTCCAAGCACGCAATGCACGGCCCGAAACGTTGAACATGGCGTACGTACGTAGACAGCATGAAGTACGTATGTATCTCTTCGGCCGAGAATCAATTTTTGGGACACTCACCTATGGCTGATGAGCCGAATGTGAGAACGATCTGCCATGCGCTTATCTCACTCCAGTGCTGCATGCCGCGAGGGCCCCATCGACACGACATGGTCACTTGACACCGGTACATTCAGCCATCGTCCATCATCCACTATCGACAGTAAGGAAAACAAAAATGAGGAGTGGGTCGGTGCTTCGAGCTCTCTCTCGCTCGCTCGCTCGCTCGCTCTCTCTCTCTCTGAACACAGAAAAACAAGCAAGTCTCCTTGGAGAAGTCTCCAACACCAGTCAGTCAAGTACCTCTATTATACATTGTGCCACTATTTATTACAAAAACGCACTTGATACTGTTCTCTCAAGCAGCATTAACGTTCAGTCCCAAAGTGCAGGCGGGCGGCATCACACCGGCGAAATACAAAGAGGTTCCCGTCCAGCGCAGCCAAAACGTCTTCCACGCAACTCCCGCCTGCGGTGAACAGCATGCACAACCACCGAACGAAACAACTTACTCGAGCACAGTAGGGGGGGCTTCTTCCCCACTAACTCAACAGCAGTAAAACAAAACAAAAAACACTCGTTCACCGGGTAAATAACGTAGTTTACTCTATGTGCGCGATTGACAAATAAAAATCCGTGCAAAATTACAGAGCCCAATACTCTTGGCTGGAATCCCCACAAACACACACGGAATGAACAAAATGATACCAGGAGAGCAATGGGAGAAATGAGCAGAGGCACACCACATCCACCGTTATGCCGGAGCCGATACGTTCACAGGGAGGCAACAATTGAACATTGCACATTGCTAGGTTTTCCTTCAGGCCGAATGCGACTGACTACACGAATACGCATCGACGAAGCAGCAGCGGCCCACGGATTCACTGAAGGCACTCGAAAACAGTCACGACGCACCCGTCGTGACCTTTCGAAACCCATCTCAGGGGAACAGGACACGCTCGAATGCAACATGGAAGGTCTGCGTTCCTCGTGGCTTCGAGCTAAGGCCTCACCACACGAGCTGCCTACGGCGACGTTCTACGTACTATTGTAGTCAATATACGTACTGTAGGATTGAACGCTCACATGCAAGTACACGAGGATAAATCACGTGGATTTAACATCTCTCTCGATGGTAGTGAGGCGTCACAACTCTACCGCTACCGCCCTACTCGAGCAGTCGAATCGCCAACACGTCACTGGCAACCGCCGCTTGGAGCAGAACCAATCATTCAACGCTGCGCTGATTTAACAACCCGCTCGCTCTGAAGCAGATAGATCGCTTCACGCATCTCATCTGCAAAAAGCAACCAAAATGTTCACACGCGGACAAATTTTGGAAACTAACCAACGCTCGGATCGACCCTACCTACACCGCACGCTCGAACGAAACGAGCAAATTGTCTACACTCAACCGTCGAGAATGTAGTGAAACGTGGTATACCATTTGATATTCACACAGACAACAAAACGACAGTGATCGATCGACAAGTCGACACGCATTCGTTCCATCCCATCCCACCCAGCCTTCAAACCCACCAACGAGTACGTCGTCTACACATGTAGGTGGGTATCAACAATCTGCATCTAGACTCGATTCTAAACTGAGCGCCCCTGCTTCTTCAAGTGAACAGAGAACAGAGGCCCGTTGCAAGTATTGCACCGCCGTTCCTTCAAGTGAAGAGAGGCTCGTTGCAGGTAAGACACCGTTCGGCCGTGAGCTTGTTGCGCAGCGTGCACTTGGAGCACGCCATGAACCCCTCCGACGCCCCGTCATTGTCACCGTTCTCTTTCCAGTCGTCCACCGCCAGACTAGCAGCCTCCGCCGCCGCGATCTCGGCCTCCACGTCAACGGTAACGGTAGCTCCCCCGCCGCCAACGGCCGACAAAAACGCCGGAGGCGACGGCCTCCTGGTACCGCTGCTGCTGCCGCCGCCGCCGCCGCCGCCGCCGCCCATAAGGGCCGTGCCCTGGAAACCGGTCTCTGGTCCGGATGGAGGCTTGGTCAGCCCATCCAAGAAAATTTGTCCGTCGTCTTCGTCCACGTCTCCGGATGGTTCCGTGACCTGGTTGAATGTTGATTACGTATGTCGGTGTTCGTTCATGCTTATGTTGGCCAAGATATATTGAGCGGATCTTTCGTGGAGGCTGTGCGACGATCTCGGGTAGTCACGCATAAATGATTGAACTTATAATATATCGTGCTTCGTTCATGGTTCGGTTTGCCAAGTAATTAGTGGATCCTTTATGTAGATTGTGAAACGGTCGGATAGCCATGCGCCAGGGTTGCACCCTCTTATGCAGGCTAATACACATTAGGAACAAGACTAAAACGAAACTAACGATTTTTTCCACGATTTTATTTCCTACAAACATACTCCGTACGCAGTTATTTGCACTCCATGCGGTGATGGAGGTAATGGAAAGCTGTCATGTAAAACCCATCCCAAATGAAAGCAATCAAAGCAAGTCGGTCTAGCGTTGTGCATATTTAGCCTGCGGATAACGCTGCACAATGTTGACAAAATATTCCACCACGTCTGAACTTCGCTACCGAGGGATGCTACGATAGGGGGTACCCCCTCGGTCACATGGAGTGTTTTGGCGGACTGGTGTGTACTGCCTCAACCAATGGAAAAAATGCTTAGTGTTTTGCACACCGCGAGATGAACGCCAGGCGGCTGCCTGGGCATAATTGATTTCCTTGAAGTGCAAAAATTGAGAGAGTTACGAGCATTTACATGGACCTTGTCGGGCGACAGCATGTGACCCATGTCTTCAAAAGTTTCCCCCCTACCGTAGCATTGCTCTACCGCACTACTACTTTGGCTACCTTGAACATTTTGCGGCGGTGGTTTGTGGAGGCTGAACCACATGAGCTCTTCTAACGTGTTAAGGGCAAAGGCTACGGATAGCTAGGAGAAATAATATAATCGATACCGTGACCTCTTAAGGGTGAGGGCAAGGAAAGAACTAGTTTGAGGGTAACAATCACGTTACCTTGAGGTGCAGCGTGTCCCCAGCCTTGACGTTGGCAGCCTGCAGCGTGCTTCCCCCCGTCAGCTCCGTACCTCTCAAGTAGAGAACCTGGCGCGCGGGTGCCACCTCGATAGATGCGAACACCTGATGCCATGATGCCAGCGACGAAGAAAACCACAATCGGGAAGGGAAGATGCACAACAAGCATCATCATCGTGCCCGCACCGCGGCAGAAGAACAACACAGCGTCAGTACCGGTGTTCGATGGAAACAGTCACGTTTCACCACTCAAACGACGGAGAGCACTGCAGCATGGGCACACCATGCAAGGAACGAGATATTTTGTACGTGGTGAACATGTCATCACAATCATTGCATTGTGGGTACGACGAGCGACTTGACCGGCCTTGTGCGGGACATTTGAGTACGAGACCAACTGAAAATTCCATCTATGTCAGACGATTTCAGCGGCTTTACATAGGGCGCGTGTCCTTTATGAACAATCCCGCTCGATCGCCACAAAAAAACCCAAAGCTTGTGCGCAAACCAGACACAACAATATATGGTTCATGTACACACCAACCCAGGTGGTCCAGAAAACAGCCCTCTAGGAAAATCAAACGCAGGAGGCAAAACAATACTCTCACATGCTCATCGACACGTTCCTTTACCTGGAGCTTGCAATACTCTTAGATGCACATCAACACATTACCTTACCTGGAGCTTGAAGTGGCTGACGGTATCGTCCGAGCTGCAAGTGATTTCGAACGGCGCCGCCCCCCTTCCCCGGGTGTTCCTTTTCAACCTACCCGTCGACGAGAACTGGGCGGCCGCACCGTCCCCCGTTGGCGCTTGCTCGCCGTCCTTGAGCCGGATCACTTTCACTTGTTTGCCCTGGAGTTTTGGAGAAACCGGCAGGGGGCGCAACAGAGTGGATTTCGACGCCGTGGATCCCCTCAGTACGTGGAGATGAATAGCCCCGAGAGGCCAACTTCTCTGGGTACAACGCGAAGACACGGATGGATTTGGGAGAGGAGAGCACCAGAACGACCGCTGGCGCCTTTATTCCTTCATACCGGCGGGCTTTTGGGCATGGAGCCATGTGCGTATTCCAATACCGCAACCGAGGGCATCTGCGGCAGCCAATCAAAAAAAAAAAAAACGGCGCCTTGCCCATCGATGTCTAATACCAACTACTGTCTCCGGCTTTCTTAGCAGCCGAAACGCCTCTTCCACTCTCAATACACTACACCGGAAACCCTTCTCAACAAACCGGCGAGAGGCGCGTGGGTGTGACGGAAAACGCAAAAAGTATTCTGGTCCTGGATTGGCAGTCGGAGATTCTGGTGGTGGCGGACCAACGGCCACAACCAACGGGCTCACAATCAAATCAAGCAAGCGTCGTGTGGATCGAGTTTGGCGGTGGGGACCACGCGAATTAGTCTAGGCGTACAAGCTACTTGTGCTATACCTTCCTTCTGTTTTTGACGTATTTCGTCTCCGCGTTTGCGTCCACGCACCAGCACACTCGTCGGCATTTGATTTTTCGTCCATTTATCGATTCCGCAATCATCTCACTGCACACTATTTCCTATTCCCGATTCAAATACCCTCACACAAGCTGCCACACATGTGCACGCAAGGACGTCGATTATTAACCATTTTCGCCTGCTGATCATGTAACACACACCACTAAGGTACTGTAGCATGTGCTGCGCGGTTGCACACCTCGAATACGACCTTGGACAACTCCGCCCTCTCAGCCGCCGCCTTCGTGCACTCCTCACAAACCCTGGGGAACCATCCACCTCCCTCCTCTTCCTCCTCCCCCGGCGAGTACCTCACTCCGAACGTTCTTTCAAGCACACTCTTGGCAGTGGAGGAAGAGGTGGAGGACGCGGCTCCGCCGGCGCTAGAACTACCCCCACCACCGTCACCACCGCCGTCACCACCACCGTCACCACCTCCGTCACCGCCGCCGTCACCACCATCTACCTGCGTCACGTAGCCGACCTTAGGCACAAAGACGACGACAACAAGAGCGGCAAGGGGGGCACCAAAAGCACAAGGAACATGCCACAAGACAAGAGGAAAACGATTTAGACGAAAAACACAAACTCCCACACGAAATGTTAAGCGAGAAATGAGGCATTATTAAACCTTGTAGCATACTTCCAAGATATACAATAGGCACACTCTTGTCTATGCTGTTTTCTACTCGCTGCCCCCACGTGGCTAGACTTATGTATATAGCGTTGGCAAAGCGATAACCCTAAGCGACCAGTAGCCTCCGAAGGGTTATTAAATAAGAAAACACGTAGGATAATGCATGCAATCAGGGAAGTTGGGTTAGGGTTAGGGATGTAGGGTGTGCGTGCCCCGTCCCTGCCGTATCTCCTCATATTGTAAACTTAATTTCTCGCGACGGCGGTCGGAAGCGACTCACTCGATGCAGGTCGAGCCATTCCGCCTCCGTTATAACCTCCGCCTCCGGCACGCCATCCTCGTCCGACATGACCGAAAGAACGCTAGCGCCTGCGGCGCCTACGGCGCCTGCATCAGGCGGGAGCTGACCCCTCTCCACCAACTGCCGCAACCGCTCCCCCACGACCACAAGGCCGTGGTCGCACCGAAACGCCTGCCGCCCCAAAACGGAGTACCGACAAGGTCAGGGTTTGGGGATAGGCTCGACGGCCAAACTTGTTGTCTCAATTCCAACCCCAATGCACTTCCGATAACGTCGGAGGAGATAGGGTTGGGAATAGGGTTAGCTCGAGATTTCCTAGGCCCCACAACGGTCGGGTCGTGGTCGCACCGGAAAAACTGCCGCCCCAAACGGAGTACCCACAAGGTCGGAGGAGATAGGGTCGGGAATGGGATTAGCGCTAAAACCTAGGCCCGGCAACGGCCAAGTCGTGGTCGCAACGCTGCTCCTACAGCACCGAACGTGTTGGGGTCGGGGATAGCAGTAGGTCCAGGGGGTAGGGTAAGGGTAGTTATTAGCTCTACAACGACCGGGCTGCGCATCTGCCATGCGCCAAAGGACGCCATGTTCAACATCGAGACAGCGTCTGGGCGAATTAGTTTATGATCTAAACTGTTGTGAGGGTGAGAAAAGAGGCCGGCCATTCATTTCCGGCTTTAAACAAACAAAAGAGACATGCCCAAGCGTTGAGCATATCGATGGATGAACCTCCAGGGATAAGGTACGGCAGTGGCTGACACAACCAAGCTCCAATGTGATAGAATAATGTTTCTGTCCACGCCATGATCCCACGCAAGACACGCAAAGCCGCAGGCCACACCTGGTTCAGCAGGCACCCCGGCGGGTCGGAGCGTATACTCGAGTTGTCGTGGAAGGCTCGCCACGTCGACATCCACCATGCTTCCACAACGAAGTACCGCTCGTGAGACGACCCCCTGCCGCTGCAGCTGTGGCCATGTCTACAAGCACCGGTCGGTGGCCGGGGCCGATACAGATGGTCATGGTCAAACCAAGAGGCCACGAATCGAAACATGATAAATAACAAGTGCGGCACGAAAGTCAGGTGACACGTGATGACATCTTGCGGCAGCTCAGTCGAAGAGACCAAGAAAAATGCCAGAGTTTCGGGAGGTCAAAAGTCCCCCCCCCCCTCGAAGCCCCCCCTTGGGTTTTCGTCGCTTGGCAACGACGTTGTAAAACAAGCCGC